TCTGGTTTGACCGCTGTTTTCCAGAAATCGTTTTATTCGTAGACGCCCTCACTTGTTCGATTGAGTTTTTAGTTTATTTTGCCAGTTCGTTTCCGTTACGAACGCTTTTTGTTTAAGTTTTGTTCAGAGTTAGATCCAATAACTTAGGCAGGGCTTGTAAATAAAATATTTAGCCTAAACCGATTACCAACCGAAACGATTGATAATTAAGACTGATCAATGTATATGTCAAATTGAAACCTGGTATTTCATTCCCTTGCAGTAAATCTCTTTTCAGGTACTACATAACTACCGTAATATCGCTGACCCTCTGGAATTTTCTTTCTTCAGTGCAGCTACCTGCAGCCCTATTTGGAACTTGTGAGAGTATTTCTAACCAGTTGAGAAAACCTCTCACAGTATTACGCATGCTTATGCGGTAACGTATAATTATTTGACAATGACAGTTATTATTTATATCACATGCCACTGTTTTGGCCAATTGGGTTGACTGCGTTTTGTTATTAATATGTATTGTGCGGACTTGTTACTAAAATAGGCTTGAGAAATACTAAAACCGAGGGTGGAACCACTAAAGTCAAAACGTACTTATATTTCGAAAATCATCTAAAAAAAATTTATGTAATTTCTGTGATTTCTTTGAAAATCCACCTTAATTTTATACGATTACTTTTTTTTACTATTTCCTTGTCTTTTAGGGTGAGATTACAGAACGTCTGCAACTTTGCAGATCTGCAAATATGGCGGCAACTTTGAAAATCTGCAAATATGACTAACACATGCAAGTATCAAGTTTTCGTATTCCAAATTTGGGTTTAGTGTTGTTGGGGGTAATAAACTACAATAAATATTGCGAATTTGCAGATATTTTTTGGAATACTTGCATTTGTGTCCGCCATATTTGCAGATTTGCAAAGTTGCAGATCTGCAAAGTTGCAGACGTTCTGTAATCTCACCCTTAATCCACAAGTTGCTGCATTTACGATTTTGAGCGACGAATCGATTTTGAAGTGATTTCGACGATGATTTTCGATGAGTTCGGAATTTTTAAGGGTAATATAACGAGACCTTGATAAAAAGTCGACTATTTTAAATATTTTTAAATTTTAATTGGTGTTTGATAACAAATTAGTAACAATAAAAATAGGCGCTAATTTATTAAAGTCGAGTTATATTTTGAGATTATTTCTAGAGCCCTAAATGTAACTTAAATTAATAAATACGCAATAAAATAACTTTTATTTTCGGTTCATTTTAAAACGTTCCACGAGATATTTGCGTTACTTTGACAATAAATATATTTGACAGTATTCGTTATTAAATATTATACCTGTAATAAAGTGTGCGAGTTTCTGTCAACACAGGTGACTATTAAGCACCAGGCATGTATAGTCGATTAGGTTCTAACGATAACTTAAATTGTGATGTGATTGATTAAAATGTCAAAAATGACAGCCGAGAGAAATAATCGAGCAATTTGTACTGATTTCGGTTATTTCGAACAAAAACGTGCCAATATTTCGGGAGTGGTTTACCCCTTGACTAAAACTTTGTTTTTATTGCTTAGCTACACCTAAGATTCCATTATTTTTAACATTATTTCAACACTGTGGGGGGAAAAAGTTACGTATAGCTCGGTAGTATAATGGGACTTCAACGGACTGACAGGGCAAAGTTAGCTGGATTTCAGTGCCTTACTTGGGTGCGTCTTCAACACTGGGTTAATATCCAACACACCGACTGGAGCCATGGAAACTATGCTGGATCTAACCAATATTCACATTTTGCTGGATAGGGAAGTGAGTATGGTATCCGACAGACTCCTGACGGTGGGTAATCAAAGCAAGAAAAAAATTGCGATAGGACAAAACGGAACTGTTGAGTAAAATTAATAACCACCCCATTCTAGTTAGGGTCTCAGACCCGTTAGTTTCCCGACAGCACATAGAAATATCATACAGCGTCCTTATTCCAGAAAAGAATTCCCATCTCCCAAACAGACTATACACTGTAAACGGACGGCTGCAAAACTAAAAAAATATAGTTTTCGGCAAGAAGCAAAGAATTGACATATCAATAAACCTGAACACGTTTGGCGACGATCTTCCAAGCAGAAATGATCGCTATAGAAGCGGGAGCAAGTAAGTTGAGCAATCTATCTCTCACTAACAAAACTATAAAGATCTTTTAGGCTAGCCAGGTAACCCTTAAGCACAGTATAGGTATAATGCGCCTCAAAGTTGTCCGAATTAATTGACGAGTTGTAATGTGCTGTGGTTTCCAATGCTGCGTTCTGCTAGTATTGTATGCAGACAGTTGTCAGTTAAGTTATTGTGAAGTGATTTTTCTTTCCAAATTTATTGTACAGTTTTTAACTGTGTAAATAACTCAGGAAGAAGTAACTAACTTGGCGAATGATCCCAGCAAAATGGCGTCGCCTGTCAAACCACTTCCTCCTTGTAAAAAAGGTATCAAAGGTGCCGCTTGAGAGTCACATTGATTGTTTCCATATACTGTGCCTTAAGCCTCTTAGCTGCAACCGAGTTCATTAAAAGCTAGTTTGGAACTGTATAAGTACCCTTTAACATCTAAGTTTTACCCAAGTTCCGGGACACAGCGGTGTGGAGGGCCTCGCGATCGCTAAAAGAGGAACCGAATCCGAGTTCATTGGACTAAAACTATTCCTTGGCATTGCCAAAGGAATTATCTCAAACTGGATAAAGGGTGTAAGAGTCATGTACTGGAGAGATTCCCACTAGGCTAACTCATTCGAGGGAGTTCAAACTAAACTCTTCCATGAATGCCTCTGCTAAGATCCGTGAATGGAGTAGAAACGATCTACTCATTCTCACATAACTGATGACAGGACATTATCGTATAACTTGTGTCCTTTTATTCAACTGTTGTAGCCAAAATTGGGATCGGTGTGGTATCTTTTTAACATCGATGATGAACTAACAATGATACATTTTTATTTAACGTTGCTGCAATCGTTGTAACATCAATCCATTATTTTAAGTTATAGTTTTTCCGATAAAATGTTAACTTACAACATGGATTGACGGAATTGAGATTATTTTATTTGTTTGATATTAGGAAAAATCTGAAAAAATAGACTTTATAAAATACATCCCCTGAAATTAGGTACAATTATGTATAAACACAAATTTTAATAAACATACGACACACCAGAACTGTTAACTGTTATATCTTTCAACGATCAACTACAAATAAACCGAGAGCCGTTCAAGGTTCTACCAGTGAAAAAGCAATTCCTACAAATTGCTAGAAAAAAGGAAGCAGGGTATGAAAAGGATAGGTCTGCAACAAACGTCGGACTGTCGATTATGCAGCGTGGAAGATAAATCTACAGAGCACATTATATGTACCTACTCCGCTTTAGAAAGAACTAGATTCCAGATCATTGGCTTCACCCGACTGGAGCCTATCGATTTTAAATCTCACCTAATTCAGCCATGGCCTTTATCAAAAGGGGTGGCTTGTACGGTAAATTATAATTAGCCATGAGCCACAAAGTCCAGTCTGTAACGGTATGTCTTTCATACCGTTATTTTTCCTCTATTGCCCCATCTCTTTCCTTGCGATGACAGTTCTGTGTATGTCAATCAAATTTCATTTATCTTCCTAAATTTGGTGTCGAAAAGACAATTCATATTAATTGGGATGATCCTCTGATAAAGAGATTATTTTCTATTTTTAAAGACAATTAGGTTAATTATGGTAAGTACTAGATATCATAATTTTTTGTTTCTTACAATGATTACCGAGGATTAACTAGATTTATATTTTTAACTTTTTGAGGTTATATATATATATATATATATATATATATTTTTTTTTTTTCGTAAGTTGATACGTTTGAAATATATCGGTTTCTGTAAAATAGATATATTTTATTTCATTAAAAGATCGAAATATTTTAGCTATGCAATATTTCAATGGTTTTATTGGAAGAATGATTTGGATGATCGTTTTTATCACATGAAGAATGATTTAGAAGTTTATTACCTTGTTATAATATGAAGAAGGATTTGCTGATTTGCATAGTAATCAACGTCTCGAGGTTATAAGAACATAATGAATGATTGATGTCTAGAAGACTAAAGGATTTGCTGATTTGATAGCGTTTAACGTCTTGAGGACCTAAGAAGTACCGTAGGCTGTTTGGAGACCGTTCATCGTAGATGATACCTGTTCTACCCCATAATGAACCACTACCCTCGTTGAGATAAGTCAATTTTATATTGTACCGAATACTATTTTAAAATAGAAAAGTAATTTTATTATTAGATACTCTTTTTACTGTATCTTTATTTTTTTTTTTTTTATTTAAATTTAATAGTAATTTTTGTTTCCGTATTTTCATCAATTACTGTTATACGTAGAGAATTTAAATACGGAGGTTCCCATTTCCTAATTTCAAGGTAATTGAGTTATTATATCCTAGTGCCACATCAACAACCCTTATTAATAGGCTTTAAACACTTAAATTGTAAAACCAACATCAGTGGTTACAAAAAGTGGAAGGCGATGTGATCAACCCACTCATTTTTAATATAATTTAGAGGTTCCATTTCATTTTAGTCATTAAAGTCCTATATTAATTTTATATTTATTAGTTTGCAATGTGTTCATTACCTATGCAAAAATATACTTTAACTTGGTCACTGGTTCATACAGCAATAATAAAAATTTAAATAAATTAACCATGACTTATGTCTGGCTTATTTTTCGATGTTTTTACATAATTGTAAATTTTGAAATGAATCAATTTAAGGATATTAATTATAAAAGGAGGGTAAATATTCTTAAATTGAAATATTCCTCGAATATAAAAATTGTAATCATATAATGTTTGTCTAAATATGAGAAAATCTATTTGATTAATTTGTTATTAAAAATTTTGCTTACACTTTCCTCCCATCAAAAATTCAAATCCTTAAAAATGTTAATTTTATTTAAAATAATATTTAACTTACCATTCCGTTGTCTAGTCCTCCATAAGGAGGTTGAAAACCAGCCTTTTCTGTAACAAAAAAAAAAGGTAAATAAACATTACAGCTACTGGAAGATTATTGACAAACATTAACAGTGGTAAGACCTAATGCTTTTATGATTTTATGAGAATCATAAATAAAAGTAGATACTGACACGACACGTATTTCGTGAAGATGCCGATCCGATTAAAAATGTGTGTACCTGCTTCCTTTTACAAAAAAAAATCACAATTTTATTATGGATACATATAGGTACTTGATTCACATTAATAGATTTCGAAAGAAACAAGCAACTTTTTTTACCAATATTATTTTTGTTTCTAGTTCCACAAGATTATCCGCGGAATATGTCTAAAAAAGTATTATAAATAAATACAATTGCGCCCAACGTGGGGCTCTTTATTTATTTGAAGAGACAGTGCGTTTATTTTATTATGGTTTTTGTTCCTTTTCTATTGTAACGTTTGGTCATATCAGGGTAAAACTCATTTTATATATCTTTAACGGATTTTTAATATATGACACTATTGATGATAATTTAAACGTCATAGGGTAAGTGTAAAATCAACCGCTAAAAATCCGTTTCTAAACTCTATTGGTGTCATTATAACAACAAAAAATCTTGAAATTTTATAGAACATTATTCGTAATTATAAACTCAAGAACCATACACGTAAATCCTCAATTGGCCACACTTACAAATCCAAAACAGCAATTAAACAACATATATAGTTATCGTTAACGACCTCGTCGTACCCTTTGTAGCATGAAAATCAACTTGCTATCTTCATGCTGGAGACACATTAAGATAATATTCATTAGCAGATATGTCGGAATGGCTTTTCGGCCACACCACACCAACCTATCGGTCCGATTGCAATGTCCCTTTCAAAACGTTGAATTTCAGTTCGGTGGCTAAGACGAAGACCAGAATCGGTTTCAGCCAATATTTAACAAAGCATAAGTAGATTATTATAGAATATTATAGAAACCGAAAATAGACTTGAGAAATATGTTTTCCAATGTTGAAAATATAACAGATTAATCCCTCAATCAAACACAGGTCGCGCAAATTCTGACTAAATCAAAATTGCTATGACATGTCCATTAAAATTTCTCGAAATTTGGGTCTATAAAGTTTCTTAATTGTTTTGCTTATATGATGGTAGAAAAAATTGTGTATACAACTCGTGTATGTCGGTTCCATTGGGTCATATAGGTTAAAAAAAAAAAATATTTTTAGCGGGCTATACCAACTCCCAATTTTAATGTATGGGTCTATTTAATGGTACTCTTTAAGCATACTCATGAATACAAATGGAAAATTGGCAACATAACTCGATGTTTATGCTTGAGAACTACTATATATACATGCAGAATAACTGTCACTTTAAAAAATTGTAATAATTTTTCGGACAAATTTGTTCGGATTTCTAATAGTGTAGTTTGTTATTACCACTGGGAGTCATACTAATGGGATATATGTGTCTCATATATAAATGAAAGAGAAAAAACAAATATTGGTTGTCTGTTAGTATAAACTATTTTTGTGTAAAATTCATCAAAAGAATTATTTAAGTTTGCCTAATAACACAACAAAAGTGAGGCTCACTAAAAGAGCTATATATTCGTTGCATAAATAATTGATTTCTAGTTGTGACAAAGAAAACTAAATACAGTCTGTTAAAGGGATACGAATTTATTTTTGCCTTATCAGTTTGGATTGAAATTAAAATTTAAATGCCTCTAATTCAGAATTTACTTTATCTGGGATTAAAACGTAAAGGATACTGATCCTGAATTTACATGTACCTACCCGTATAAAAATATCTACTAAACAAAGGCTTATTCTATTTATAAAAACAAAGTAATGATTCTAATATACATGGAAAGATTTTTTTTAAAGAACGTGATTTTAACATAAAATATTCTTGAGAAAATATAAATAAAAAAATAAATCTAAATAAAAATACTTAAAAATAAACCACTTGGGCTAAGACGAAATCTTCGCCTGTGATATGTGACGTATTTTAATTGTGTTGATTCTGCTAATCATAGCTGTTCTCACTCCTTGCCCGTAGGGTATAATTAAGGGACCAACAATCAAATTCCATGTTTGAACTAATAATTTCCTTTGTCGACTATTTTTTAATATATTGCAAGATTTTGACTGACATTAGCTTTATACTTAAGTATGTATAGATAGGCAACTTGTATCACGGGCTTTGTGTTTTCTGGCATATCTTTAGATTTCTTTTTTAACGGTGCCTATCTTGAGATCTCTATGTATTTCGAATATACCACGGAGCATCCACAATATTTCTGAGTACTTTATTTTAAAATATATGATTGATATCCACATTAGTTCGTTTAGCACAACCCCAAAGCTGCAGACATTATAGATGAGTAATTTGTTATGTGCTGATAATTTTGATCTTTTGCCAATTAACCAGTATATTTTTTTTGTATTGCACAACTCCATTTTCTTCCTGATGTGCTCTTTGCATGTAAATTGATTCCTAGATACTTGGCCGTTGTTGAATGACATTCAACAAACTACATTTATCGTTACACTCAATATTACATCCAATATACATTTAGCTTTCATTCTTGATTTTTTACTACTCCTAGAGACGTCTGTAATCTGCACTGTCTTGGCTGATAAGGAAGGTCTCAGACAAATACCTACGTCACAGGCGTCATCCACTTCTCATTGGTCAACACCACATGTGTCATCCACTTCTCATTGGCCAACGTCACAAGCGTGAGTCTCAATTAGTGACTTATCTCCCTCTCAGAATCAGAGCATTAAACATGTGTAACGCACTAAAATTCTTTGCGTTGATACACTAACTCCGGCGCACTCTATTGCGCCAACTCATTGCGTTAACGCAATTGCGTTATTGCGTCACACCAGTGCCTGCGCCGAATGAAGTCGATGCACCTCGGTGTATCGCATGATACCGGTGTTATTCAGCGCGGGCTGTCCTTTTATAAGGGTCAAACCGTGTTCAAGACAATAACGCAATTAGGAATTTAACTAAATTATATGTTTAAAAATAAACGAAAATATAACAGTGTAATGCACCCATTTTTTATTTTATTGTGTTCGGATTTTACAAAGAATACAAAAATTTCAATTTATATAAAAAGGATATAACTTTTGTATACTAGTAGCCAATCAAATTGGGAAGAACTAAAAATTGACAGTGTACAAGATTAAAATTCATAAAATTCGACCTACAATCCTACAAAAAATGATGTGACATGTTGCAAAGAACATAATTACTTGATAGATTTTGGGTAATCTACATTACGAGTTGCATCAATTACGTAAATTAAAATTCTCAACTCGTCACGGAAAACGCAATCAGTGCCTGGCGCATGGCGCACCAACAACTCGCGATCCTTTCGACTCAATCGAAAATTGCGTTGCGCTGATACAGTAACAGCTGGTGTATCAACGCTCATAACGCATACAACTGCGTTAACGCAATAACGCAACGCAGCGCTGCGTTACCCATGTCTACAGAGCTTCAGATACCGTCAGGCACATCACAGCGTTATACGGTGATAAAAAAGGCTCTGTCCGCCATTATGTAACATAAACTTTTAACATGGATTAAAGTAACAAATTTCCTAGAGAAATACTGTAAATAATGTAAAAAGTGTTTATTAATAAGTAAATCATGTATAGTATTAAATAATTAAATAAAAATGTTCAATCAGAAGGTAATCTTTTAATCCAAGTTCTACAACTCCCAGACCTATGTATCGCACAGGTATTTCAAATTTTCTTATTTCTACAGTTCATGAATAGTCAAGAGCCGAATTTCGTCCTATCTTGTATATGGAGCGAATACACCGATAGAAGCCTGTATATCGGTCAAACCACGACAGCCGTATTTTCATATGATACCGAGATCCGTTTATTGTGATATGTACAGTAGAACTTCGATTATCCGAGGTAAAGTGGGGGAACATTCTATAAGCTCGGTTAATACGAAACAGTGACGCCTGTACCTCGGATAATCAGAATGTAGAGTCCACTCTGTTAATCCGAACCTCACTTAACCGCGTCTCGGATAATTGGTGTTCCACTGTATGTTATTATTTTAAATTTATATTCATTCAGATTTTAGTTCATTTAATTTTATTCTCCACTGTTTAGTCCATCTGATAAATTCATTAGTGGCTTGTTGTAGCTTTTCAATGGTTTTTAGCTGCATTTGCTCCTGTTGCTAAAATATCAGTGCCATCAGCAAACGTAGTGGTTTTGACATTAATCATTTCTGGTATATCGTAGGTAAATAGTAGATGCAAGACAGGACCAAGGACGCTCCCTTGTGGTAAGTATCTTGTTTCACGATGTAAAATGTATCTATAACGTACGACTCCAGAAATTGTACATACTGCTTTGGGAGCATTTGTCCCAATTTTATGTCCTTTATGCTAGACTTTATCAAATGTCTGCGCGATATCGAGGAACAATGCAGAGCAGATTTCTTTCTCTTCGTAGGCTTTCTCGACTTGATCTATTGTGGAATGTTGTGTTCTAAATCCGAATTGATGAAATATTATTAGATGTTTCTTTCTTTAATCACTTTCGAGTATCTTTAATAACAGATCTACGAAGAGTTTTAAGATGACTGGCTATAGAGAAATAGACCATATGATTTAGGTTCACTTGGTGGTTTCCCAGGTTTCAGGGTCATAATGACTTCAGCAATCTTCCATACACTTGGTACATGCTTCAGTCTAAAAGATGAATTTATCAAATTTGTAAGTTTGAGAATGCCTTTTCTTGGGAGTTTTTTCATTTTCACTGCTTCTTCTGTAATGAAATCGTATCCAGGAGCCTTTTTTGGGTTGATATTTGATTTCATTTCTCTAGTAACTTCTTTTGGAGTAACAAGTACTATCTTATCTTCTTCTTCTATTGATATGTTCTATATCTGATTCATTAGATTAGAAGATTTTTTCCAGACGGTCTGCAAAAAGATCTGCTTTTTGTTTGCTCTCTTTAGCC